CGGCCCTCTGAAGTCCTCACATGTGCAGCAGCCCTCCCCGACCCTCTACTGCCCGGGGAAGTCTCTAACGGGTACTTGGGCACTGTATCTGTTAAGACAGGTGGCACGTGTCCTGGAAATCCTAGTTTCTCTAAACACAAGTTTCGATAAAAACATAAAGAAAGAAGAGCGAAAGGATTAACTAGGGGAAGAAGAAACGCGGAGGAAAGCACAGAAGCCCGTCTCTCCAAGGATCCCGGTCCCCATCCGGCGCTCTATCCAGTCCTGCTGAGCACGCCAAACAGAACTCGGCTAAGCTGAGAGGGCAGCCAGCCACCGGCAGTCGGTGTCTTTAAGGGAGGAAGGAGCGCTCCCGGTGGCAGGCAGAGAGGCGCACTGGCTGCCCCACTGCCCCTCTGAGCGCGCAGCACTTTTGTGGCCCCCTGACGAGTCGCTTCCTCCGGCTCCCGGGCCTACGGCTCAGAACTCGGAGTGCGAGGAGATCTGAAAGCGGGGCCAGGACGCGCGCCTTCTCTCCTCGGAGCTTGGGAGTTGAGCGCAGACGTGCGGGGCACGCGTGTGGCACAGATGCGTGGGCCCCTCTCTCGGCTCTTCCCGAGGTGTGGATGCGCCCTGGCGCCTCTGCCCCACCCTTTTGTGCTCCCCCTCAACTGGAAAAAAAATGGTTCCCCCCGCGTAATGGGGAAGAATGCCCCGGAGACCCAAGGCTGACCACTGACGGGTGGGTGCCAGAGAAGTCGGGGGCGCGCTCGGCCGCACGTGCTCGCGCCCTGACGCACCGAACCTGGCCAAGCGGCGTCGGGAACCTGTTGCGGCCTCCGGCTCTGGAAAACCGGACAGGGAACAGCTGGGAAAAAAGCAGGGAGCAGCTGGGGAGGGCAGAGCAGGAAAAGGAGGAAACAGTTAACCCAGGCGAGCGTGTCCTAATTGTTCCCAGGCTCCCTCGGCAAAGTCTTTGACGCAACATGCGGAGTCAAACCCTAAGTCTCCAAAACGCAGCGGGCAGAGGGAGAGCTTGCGTCTCCACGTTCACCCTCGGCGGAACCGCGAGCAGACACGTCCTCTTCAGTAATCCTGGGGCCTCGAAATCAGACCACGCTACACGGGGGCCTAGTGTGAAAGCGTGGGGAGAGGAGTAAGCGGCTGGAGCCTCGCTCTCCGGAGTTCTCTCGCCCTTGTCGGTTGGCCCGGGAGCGCACGTCGCGGCTGGGAACAGGGGTGCGGCTCTCCTTCTTACTTCCCCGGGGTGGGGTGGGGCCCTGCGCTCCAGCGCACCTGCTCACCCACCGCTCCAGGAGGCGCCCTCCGACCGAAGCGGGACTTGCCCTTAAGGAAACGCAAGATTAAAGTGGGAGAAAAGTCCTTGCGGGCCCCAGCGGTCGTTTCCAGTCGTGCTCAGGAAATACACACTAAGGGAAAATGACTTTAAATAACATGTTGCCTCACCGTCCTAAATGGTTACGTGTGATATCCAAGTAGGGATTTCTAGTAAAATCTAAAAGTAAAAATGAAAATTGAATTTCTGTGTTTATTATTAAAATCGAATTACTAAAAAATGATGACCTTGTTTGGAATTCATATCTTTCTTTCCCAGTAAAGTCAGCCAATATCGACTGAACGCCCCCCACCCCAATATAGCTATACGAATCGTGATCGCTCCGGTTCGAGTTCTGTCACATGCACGGATCTAAGCAGAACCTCTGCCAAAGACTGTTGCACCGGGCGCGCCCTTTTTAGTAGTTGCTGAGACCTCTGGGAAGAAATGGTTGGCTGGGAGTTGGCTGGGGACCCCCCGCAACCCCATCCCTCCTCTGTGGGACTCCAAAATTGAGTCAGGTCCTGGCTCACGGGGTGCACAGGAATTGGATTGCTGAGAAATTCCAGGGCGCGCCCTCGAAGCTACAGTTCCTGTTCCCGAATAGCGGTGACAGGTGGGGGGGGGGGCTTAGGAAGATATCTTAAAGATAGATACTCCGTCCTAGACCTCTGTTCAAACAGCAAAATAATACTGAAGAAAGTTTTTAAATCCGCGGTACTAGACACCCTCTTTTCCCCCTCGCGCGCTGATAGGACCCGTCTCCATTTTTGAGGTGGCTGCGGGCACCCACGGCCTCCAGACCGGCGCCTGTCTCACCGAGAGAGGCGAGGCCGGCCGGGAAGACCCCCAGCCCTCACTCTCCGCTGCCACCTCCGGGCTGCCGCGCCGCGGATAAAAAAGAAAACGGACGTGTGTGCGGAGTTGGCGGGGAGCTTGCGGTGCGAAGATGGGCCACACGCGCGACGCCCGGAAGTACTCTGGTGTTGCTACCCTGTGTGGGGCCTGTCGGGATGGAAATGTATCCTGTCCTGGAAAACTCTGTGATCAAAATATTACCGTGAAATACAACTTTTTCCTCACAGACCTGTTCATATCTTGGAAGTCTTCACTGCCGACGCCTAGGCTTAAAATATAATTCGATAATTGGATATTCGTGTAGACGCACTGACCTACAAAGCCAAGAGAGTCTCAAGGCAAAGTGAAATGGAACCTTCAAGTGACGTTCTTAAGTTGGCAAGAATATGTGTTTCTCCTCGTCGGGCCCCTTGCACGCTGAGAACCAGTGTCCCTTAAGACTTGTGATTGATATTTTTAGGGGAGGGGGCACCCATACTCTCTAGGGACGGAGTCATGCACCAAAAGGAAATATACATGATAAGGTCATTGGGTGCTGCTGTCACTGCAGGGTGCTATCACCGCCCTGGGTCAGGCGTCTCTCTTGTTAGAACCAGAAATGCAAACGTCCCTCTCCTCTCACTTCCCTCTGTCTCTGTGTCTCTCCCCTCTCTCTCTCTGTCTCTCCCCCCCCCCACCTCCCAGCGAAAGATCCAAGCAAGGGTTGCCTGAGCACCTAGAGAGACTGCGGAGGTCTTCTAGACGGCGGAGAAGCCTAACCCACCAAGTAGCAGGCAGTAGCTCTGCTCACCGGAGCTTTGAATTAAGGGCATCTCTCCATAAAGTCAGGGCGTTCTAAGCAACCACTCAAAGTGGGTCTAGACTTAAAATTAGACCTTTCAGACCTGAGAAGTGTATGGTCATATCCTCAGAACAATGATTATGTATTTTCCATAGCTGGAAGGATACAGGATAACTTAAGAGGACGTGGGAAGATGAGAGTGATCTGAAGCCTTCATTATAAAGTTTTAATCTCTTTCTAAGGAAGTCCCATACAACGTCTGGATTTTGCATTGCAGCGTGTCTGTTGCTTTTCGTGGGCTTTACTCATAGAAAGACTAGGGCAGGATAAGTCCTCAATTGCATGGATCTCGGAAGATGCAGGAGAGATGCTTGCGAGGTTCTTCCCTCGTACAATCCCGTGCGCAGCCGGCAGTTGGAAATTGACTCGATGACTGTGAAGCAGAAAAAGCACTGGCCACTTTGCAATTTAGAAATTACAGCTGAATGTACGAGGAGCCGGTGCAATCTGCCCGCGGACTTGGGAGAGTCCTCCCTCCCTCCTTTCACCCCAGTTCTCCGGAGGCACACTGCCTAACACCTCATTGGCCTCGGGTGGTGCACAGCCGCTTCCTTAAGGGAGAACCCTCAAAAGAGTTCGTTTCTGGGTTCAACTCTCGGGGATTCTGACTCGGAATGTAATTGTCTCAGGGCTGGAGGCACCTGGGAGACGAGCCCTGACGGCTCTGCAGACTCCCAGCATTTCTAAAGAGCTTTCTCTTTCTCTCTGCTTATTAGTGTGAGGCTTTGGTTGGACAGAAGTTGTGAAAATAAAAGGAAATGGCAAGCCCCATCTTTTCAAAAAAGCCAGGAACTTGGATATTTCGCTTATTATTTAATCCCTTTTGTGACCACCCACTTTTGCCCCTCAAAGTTACCTGCAAAGAAACGTATCTGGTTAAAATAACCTTAAATTATCACCAAACCTGCCTTCTCTCTTTCTCCCACACACAAAACCTGTCTTTAAAAAACAGAGGAGGGGGTAGGGAAGCAAAGTAAAAACAACCACCTAAAAACTCTTATGGCAATTTACTGGCAATTTCTAACTTTGCGTTTTAAAAACAATAACACTCTCTAAATTTCAGTGCCCTGGAAGCCATCTGTAATTCACTAGGATCAGCGAAGAAGATGGTCCCCATCTTGTGATAAGAATTCACCGTGAGCCTGAAGCAAATCAGGCAGGACCTCCACTGCCCAAGGACCAGGACGTTGAGCAGAAGGAAGCTCAGACCTTAAGAGGGCGTCTACAGCGTTAGTGGCTTTCTTTGCTAAAAGTTGGTGCTAGGTGGAAACCTGGAGGCTGTGGTATAGCTTATTTGTACCAGACTCAGCATCTGACAAATGGCTATTTTATAATTTATCTGAAAAACTTTAAAGAGGGAGATATTATGCTAAAAGTGCAAAGTGTACATCATCGCTATCCACTGAAGGAGGACAACAAAAAGTTGTGAGAAACATCTCCCCTGAGTTCTGCTGTATGCTAAGACCACTGACCCAAGGCCCAAAGGGCCCGAAAGGCTTAGCCCTTCTTCCAAGACCCTTTACAACAGTAATAAATAGAGGAATTGGAAAAATCAAAGATAATGTACAACACACTTCAAAACCCATGTTAACTTCCTGAGTCTTAAAAAGATACTCCCTAAACATTCTGCAAGACAAAAACTTGAGAAGACTTCAGACCTTGCAGAACTTCAAAAGCTATCTGGTCTCCTAAACTTCTCTTCTGAAAGCTGCACTTACTAGCAAAATTAACGAAAGAGTTAAGATATCCTCAGTTGATTCTGATAAATGCAGGTTGCCACACTCAAAAATCCTGGTTGAGGAAAAATACTGTACTGAATTTTCTGGATAATTAGTTCAATTCCCCAGGTTCTTTTGCTAGAATAGATCTCGGCTGTCAGTTTGAAACTCAAATGTTGAATAAGTGACCTATCCTAAATCAATCTCCAATTCTATTATATATTGCTGTTTAGTCATCATTTCTTCCTGACCCAGAAAGAAGACAAAATTCTGTTCATTTACATAGTTTATTGTTGTAAACATTAAAATTGTCTTTCTCAAAGAAAGAATTTATCAGAAAAAAAAATCAGCGTCTCTAACTGTCATACACCATAGAAAAAAAGGCAGTGACTCATATCATGTGCCATACTGGAAATATACAAAGAAAAATACTACAGAATATGGCAATATTAAAATTCTTACTCAAACATAAAATAATATATTAACTGACAATTTTAGACATTAAAAAAAAAACAAAAAAAATTCAAAGTGCTCAGTAATTTCCAGGGAGTTATGTATATTATAAGCACTCTGGAAACAGTCAAAAGCTGCTGCATGCAAGTTTTGTTTAGCTTTAGACAACAAAATAATCAAGATATAAACTTTCTTTTATCAACATCAACGGTACATACAACACTTACAAACAAGGAATGTTGGACGGTGTTACAAACACTATGTGTCCCTTTTGTCAGGATTTTCTGATGTGTAATACTTGTGCCCACCTATTTTACAATTGAGAAAATGTTTAAGCTCAGATAACTACCAATCTTTATAAAATCTAACAGACTACATAGTGTCCGAAATACTATTTATATAATATAGACATTACTGAAATAGCAAGTGCCTATAACATTTTCAACCTAGAATCAACATGCTTGTCCCTTTTTTGTGTAGTTCTTTTTTTCTTTTTTTCTTTTTTTTGCAAACACACTTATCTTTTAGAATTTGTAATATGTATTCATAAATAGGCACAAAATAATTTAAAAAGCCAAACTGCATTGGGTAAATTTACAAGCCTTTCCCTTCTTCAACTCATGCCACCCACGCAACATTTAGTTTTACTATATATTACAGCTTTCTTTACAGCAGAAAACTTTGAAGTCTTTTAAAGGGCAATACTTGTGGGTCCCCTTACAATGTGTGAGTGACTCTGTGTGTGTGTGTGTGTGTGTGTATTACATTTGTCTTAACTGCAACAACCAAACATGGCCAAACATTTCCCATCATACATTAGGAATCTTTCTCCTGAACAATAAACTGATTTTTAAACTGATAATAAAAAGTTTATACCACTGTATTGTGTGTAGTCCGTGTTCTAAATCCAGGATGCCCCGGAGCCAAAATGCCCTTTCAGGTTCTGCCTGCAGGTTAGGAAATAGCAACAGTTTTTGTTGTTTTGTTTTGTTTTTGTTTTTTTCTTTAGGGATCAAGGGACTGGGATTTTATGGAGGGGGTGGGGGCCGGCTAGAGCTGAGGCAGCTCATGGGGATATCTCTGCCTTGTGACTTGCCCCCTCTGGATAGTTTTAGGTTTCTTTCCAGTTCCTTTGAAGTGCATGGGAGGAGGTCTTAGAAAGGTAAAGTGTCCAGGAAAAGTTTGTCAATTATTGCTGGCGGTGGTACCAAGTCTTCTAGTTTCAGGTAGAAAATGCGCTGTAGCCCCTGTGTGCAAAGAGTACGGAGTTCTGGGAGCTTCCCCAACAGTTTGGACAAATAGTTGGGGCGGTTCAACCCCCCATTATTGAAAGTCACATGGTCTTTGAGACAATTTACAATCTTGTTTTGCAGTTCTTCCACTCTCTTGGGTTCCTTGAGCCCGTGTCTCTCTGCAGAAAACACAATCAGAAACAAAAGAGGAACACACAAAGCAGTTAGCTAGTTGGCAGGAGCAGGGAGGATCAGTGGCAAGGGAAAACCAGGACAAATCCTGGTGGGCAGTTTTGGAGACGTGCCCTGCACCTGAGGTACTGACCTGTGACCATAGCCAGGGCAGCAATGCAGGAGAAGGCAGAAATGTCGATGTTCATATTCTGCAAGTTGGAGGAGAATTCAACAATGGAGTCAATCCATTCCCCAAAGCCACGAACGCATTGCAACCTGTGCAAGACCACCCCATTGCAAAAGATGAGTTTACCCTCCACTGGGTTGGACCTGCAATTAATACCAAAGAGAGAGAGGGGAGAAAAAGAGAGAGAGAAAAGCTAAACAACTAATTACTTGAAGAGCAATAAATGAGGGATTTAAGAGGTACCTAATTACGGAAGAGTTAATAAAATGTAGACCAGTAGACCTTGAAAGGGTTTAATTTCATAACAACCAAGAACGCCCCCTATCCCACTTCCATTCCATTCATCCAAGGCTTCTGGTCTCACGCCTTCCCTTCTCTTCCTTTTGTCTACTATCTTTTCCTTCTTCTTCCCCTTTCATTTTCCTCTTCTGTCCTTTTCTCTTTCCCCCTTTGATTCCCCTTTTCGTCTTTCTTTCTCTTCTTGATTCCTCTCCTCCTCCTTTCCCAGCCTCCCTGGATTGCCTCCTCCATTACCTGTACGCTAATCGAAGCACAAACAGTTCTAAGAAAGCTGATTCAAAAAGCAGGTCTTGGTCGGCTTTGGGCAGGTCCGCGAAGCCCGGGATCTTCTCAGCCCAGCCCCTGATGATCTCCATGGAGCCAGTCAGGAGATCATAGAACTGCTGGATATGCTGAGTGTCATCTCCACCCATCTGATAGTCAGGGTTCGCCTGGAACTGGAATTTCATTTTAAAAAGCACTTAATGAGGTTCTCTAAAATATATAACCCGTGAAATTGCTAACCCCGCTTCTAGTAGGGGAGCCAGGTTTTTATAACAATTAAACCTCTCTCTGACCAGTAAGGAAATTAGATGTTCCGGGGCAATTAATTCAATTAGGGATGGTGCTATGAGGTCGCTGCTTTAAATATGTAAATTATCATTTCCATACGGACTAAATACAGTGCCATCCAGCCCTGGGAAACGTTCACTCTTATCTCCACAAAACAATTGACACGTTAGTATTCATGCCAGTCCCAGAGTGGGTCTCAAGCAGAGACACCCTTTGCAAATCTTAATAAAAATGCAGTGGCTTCTAGGTTTGCCCGACATACTTCCTCCAATTAAAGCCCGCACATTTCTCACAGCTGGGGTAAAAAAAGGAATCTGACCACTTGATTCTCCACCCCGTTGCCATTCCTTAAACCTTTCTCCTTCCCTTCCCGGACCCCCAAGCAGGCATCCCCCACCCAGAGGGTGCCACAGAGGATGAGGATTAAAGCATCTCTATGGAAGATTGGGGATAAAATCCAAGGGCGGGGGGCATTTTGCACAGCCTCTGGTTTGGGCATTAGAGGCATTTGTGTGTGAGTATATGTGTGTACGGTGGCAGTGAGATCGAGGGCTCCCACAGGTGTGATCACTGTGGCCTGTCCTCTCTCCTCTGTCTGTCCTCGTGTCTACACTCCCAGCAACATGGTTTGTCTGTCGCCTGTCTCCTGTGGCTCTGCTCCGGGCTGTAAAGCCACAGCCTTGCTTGAGTCTGGGGCTTAGTGATGGGTGTGGGAAGGGGTCCTGCCCATCTGTCGGTTTGTCCACATGCTACCCCCGCCAGCTTCTTACCCTGGAATAGTCCAGGCTGGTCATAGCCGGGTTGGAGTCGACATGGGCCCTGACGAGGGCACTGATCAGACTCACCGGGGGCGAGGGGGGAGAGGGCTCCTGTGGGCTCTTCGGTTTCGAGGGCAAACGACCTCTCCGGCCTTTTAAACTGTCCGTGCGAACCACTGCAAAGGAATAAATGGGTTAACGTCGCTCCCCCTAGCGGGACCCAGCTGCCGCCTCGGCCCCTCCCGGGGGAAGGCCACAGCCATGGGGCGCCCAGCAGGGCTGCGCAGGGTCCCACTGCTTGTAAAGCCTTCACTGACCAGAAGCATTAAAAAAAAAAAAAAAATGTGGGGTTGTTTTATGTCTTCTTCCAAATGGTTCGTATAGTTGAAGGCGAGAAGGGCCTGGCTGCTTTCTCCAGGGCAGGATGGGCAAGCAGGCAGCTGCGGGGTCAGCGAGGCCGGACGCGGATGAGGGGAAACCCGGAGACACCCCTCACAACCCACCAGCGCTGGGAAGTGGAAAATGTGACTGGGATAGGAGCGGCAGCTTCCCCGCGGGCGCAGACGAGGGAGTGGGCTGCTTGTCCCGACCTACCTTCTTTGACCATCCCAACAGCCAGGCACTTCTGAAATCGGCAGTACTGACAGCGATTCCGGCGCCGCTTGTCCACTGGGCAGTTTTTATTTGCTAAACACACGTATTTTGCGTTTTTTTGTACCGTGCGCTGCAAAAGGAGACAATATAGACCGATTTTTTTTTTTTCTTTTGAAAATCCAGGAACAATTTGTGGACGGCTGGGATCTACACTCCTCCCCACAAACAAACACATACACACAACTCCTTTTTAATTCTTTTCCTTTTCCTTTTCTTTCTCTTTCTTTTCGTTTTCCTTCCCCAGGGCATTTAACAGGAGAAAATTGATAGCGTTAACATTTGAGCTAACCTTGCCGCTCCTTGCTGTGTTTTATATGCCAAGAGAAGGAGAAGGAGACGCTCAGTAAATACAAATCCGTGGGCATTCATATTATTTACATTCCTTGGAGACCTTCTCTATTTAAAATGATAAGATTATTCAATCAGGATGGCGAAATAAAGAGATCACTTAATTTGACCACAGGGAATTCTGTTCCACTTGGTTAGCTCAGACACGGTTCTCTGTCCTAACCAATTTCAATCTGAGCAGAGAAGACAGCTCCTAGCACATGCAAATGACCCTCTTCCAACTCAGGCTCCTGCAACTTCGGGCTGGGGCCTGCCGGGGTCAGCTGCGTCCGGGGGGGATGCGACCCCAGGTCTCCCGGTCTAGCTACTTCCCTTTCTCAAGCACCCAGAGGCCTCCGCCACAGGCCGTGGGCGCCTGCAGGGCAGCCTCCGCGGACCCCGGGAGTTGGACGAACTAGGACTGGGCTGCCTGCACCACGGCGGAGCGCGCACTCCGAGGCTCCCGGCACTACGGGGCCCCTATCTGTCTCCTCCGCCCCCGTCCTCGCTCACCTTAAAGAAACCTTTGCAGCCCTCACAGGTGCGCACGCCATAGTGCTGGCAGGCCGCGTTGTCGCCGCACACGGCACACAGCCCCTCGTTGGAGGGGGAGCCCCGCGACGGCGGCGAGGGCACCTGCGTGTCCAGCAGCTGCGACGCGTGGCCGATCTGCAGGCCTGGGAAGCCCATGGACGCGGGCTTTCGGATGGGGTTGGGCACAGCGAAGGTCTGCCCGTCCACCACGTGGTGGCTGCCCGCCTGCTCCGGGTTCATGGGGACGTGAAGGGGCCCGTCGAAGCGCATCTGGCAGCTAGACACAGGGGTGCCGGGAGGCGATTGCTTAAATGAGAAGAGGGAGAGGCGGGAGACGGGCGTTTTCCTCTGCTCGATCATGTGCGTGGTGGCCACGTAGTTCTGATGGAAGTTGTGGAGAGAGCCTGGGTCGTCCCACATGGGGCTGTGCTGCACTTGGAAGCCCGGGGTGGTGGGCGTCGGGGGCGAGGAGGGCTTGTAGTAAACCGACCCGGAGTGCGGCATCATCTCCTCGGACTGGGGGGGCAGGTGGCTGTGTTGCTGGTAGTTGTGCATCTGAATGTCTTCTACCTTAATGGAGGACTGCTGTCCGGACAGGGGCATTTGGTACAAGCAAGGTGGCTTGACGTCGTAGCCTGTGCTGTAGTTGTCCATAAAGGTACTGAAGCTGGGGAGAGAAGTGGTGGCAGTGATTTCAGTGTTGGTGAGGTCCATGCTAAACTTGACAAACTCTGGAGTTAAGAAATCGGAGCTGTATTCTCCCGAAGAGTGGTAACTGTAGCTCTGAGAAGCGGGGCTGGCTCCTTGAGGCGAGGACCCATACTGCGCCTGAACACAAGGCATGGCTGGAAATGAAACAGGGTAATATACACTCAGCCTGGTCAACTGAACACTTTCTCCCGGGCTCGGGTACACCTGGAGCTACACCGGCAGCCCTCGGCGGTCAGAGAGCATGTAGGGACGCGAGAGGAAGGGCGGAGAGCGCAAATGCTGCGGGGCAAAACAGAGCAGGGCGTGGAAAGGCTGGTCCAAGGAAGACCCAGAGCTAGAAAGCTTTTGAGGGTCTCTATTCCCGTATATTTCAAACACCTCCCCCTTCACCCCCTCACAAAAACAGTACCGCTCATATGAGCCTTTCCTCTGAAGCTCGAGTTCAGCAAGCTCATTCTAGAAATGAGGTTGAATTGCACAATGACAATGTTGTTCCTGATGATGATGGGCCGGGAAAACATTAAGTTACAGAGTTTGCTGAGGAAGATCGTATTGCCCTGTTTCTTGATATTCGGGGAAGTCGGAGGAGGGAAAGAAAGAAATGAAGTTGCACTAACCTTCAGCCGAATTACAGGCGTTTTCGAGGAAATTAAAGGTGGACAGTGTCGTAATTCAATGAAGGACAAAGTTTCCAAGATTTTTAGAAAAGCAATGGGGAGTCCAGCCTGTCGGATCTCCTCCCTGAAATACAGACACAGGAAGCTTCAGGGTGACTTTCCCGACAGATTCAGAGGGCATCCGTAGGGTCACCAGGCAAGCCCTTCTATGCCCTCCTTGATTGTTTCATTGTGTTGCCTTTACCAAACTTAGCAGTTAAAATGAATGTGTAAAAGAGATGACTGTAAACAACACAAATGCCCCCCAATGCACTGTGTAAATCCTTGCAGAGAGAGGGTTCTGAAGAAGAAAAGGTATTTCATGTACTTACTTAATACTTATGATGTAATAAATTGGACGCTAAGATGTGGGGGTGGGGGTGGAGGTGGGAGTAGAAGTGGGGATGGGAGGGTAGTGTCATTTCCATTTTAGTTTCATTCAGAACCAAATAAGAAGAAACTAGAGTTTAATAAAATACAGCATTGGATATCTCCTAAATTTTTCTGTGGTGAAACTAGCTTTTCTTTTGGGAAGGGGTAAAGAAAGTAGAAGTCATAAATATAATATGAGAAAGTAATCTCTCCCTCGACCCCTATGCGTTACAGAATGCCTTCAAGGCCTGGGCAGCCCTTGAAGGCAATCTGAATGGAAGCATCTGGATTTCCTAAGTGTTTTTGACAGAACACTGGGATTGTTGAGGATACAGGTGAATTGCTATTCACTTCTCCAGGAAACTTGTCTTTCAACATCTTTAATGGCCAAGGGGTGGGAAGAGGAGACCCTATTTTTCCAGGAGCATCTTAGGTCAATTGCAGAGGGAGGGAAACACTGCTTATCTGGTATTGGCACCAAGGTTAGAAGCGCTTCCCAACATAGGAAGCAGACCACCTTGCCTATACAGCCTTCCACAATCTGCCTACCTGCCGGTGGAACGAGGCAATCTTGTGTCCTAGTAATTTTCAGATGTTACCACTTGGAAGACATTCTAGAGCATAGACAATCTTATTACTAATGAAAAAGAAAACCAAACATCCACTCCTTCTATTCTCCTCCCCCCTCCCCCACTACCTTGCTTCCTGGGGAGGAAGGTTAATCAGAAAAAGTAAAAAGAAAGGAGACCCATGACACCCACAGCCTTTGAGAGCTATATGCCTGTGCTGGATATTAACCTCCTGGTAACTTCGCAGCTTCATAACTGTACTCTTTCTTCTCTGTTTCTCTGCTGTCTGTCTGTCTGTCTGTCTCTCTCTCTGACGTATTCACATACACAAGCACGGCATGTGTCAAAACCAGAAATTTCAGGCAACTTAGTAATAGGACACTCTACGAACACCAACACCACCCCTTATTCAATAATACCCAGGAAACACTGGCACATCAGCCAGCCGCGGTCACACAGTTCCCAAGCAACACATAAACTGGAGAACTTTCTCCCTGTCACTCTGTGGGTAGCGTCCAGGCCCCTCGTATATACAGGACTTGGGAGTCTCCTTGTCCAATGGTCACAATCAATTCCACTCTAAGAGCAAACTTTGGGCACATATCCCCCAGGCAAGTCCACAGCTCCCCAAACTATGCAAGTCTCCCACCCATGTCCACCAATAAGGAGCCTAGAATCCTGCCGGGAGCCAACTCTCCCCTAGTGCCAAAGCTGGAGTTCGGACAAATGACCGCCGTAGCCGCGCGCACCTATTCCCCATCCTCCGGCTCCACTCGCGCTCCGACCCTCTGGCGCCCACTTCGAGAAAACCTGTACCACCCATGTGGAAAGAAGAGACGTGCAAAAGAAGAAAGAAGGATAAAGGAACTCGAGCTGCACGGGCTGTACCTACTCACTTAGGAGTTCTCCGCGTCTCTCTTCATTCATTCAACTCCGCCGAAGTGTAGTTCCCTCTGGGAGTCCTGGTAGCAGGGTCTGGGAGGGGTGGGCGAGAGGGGCGAAGGTAACCTAGTCGCCAGGAGCCGGGAGGGAGCAGGAGAAGGCGGCCGGCTGGGCAGGAGAGCAGGACCGCGGAGCCTAGCGCGAGCCGCGGGGCGGACTGGCCCTGGCCGCCAATGTGCCTTTGTTTATGTGGCTCGCGCTGCCGCTGCCAACATGCACCTAAAGTCTCCGCGCGTCAGCGCGCGTCAGCGGCCCGCCGCCCAATCGCCGCGCCGCCGCGCTCCCCGGACTCCTGGCCGGCTCTCGCTTTGGTATATTTCCGACCTGACGTCACGAGCAGGGCCGATTTTAAGGTGGGAACCGTTCTGGGTTCACCTTGGTCGCCAGCTTGGTTTTTTTTTTTTTCTTTTTCTTTCTTTCTTTCTTTTTTTTTTTTTTTCCGAAAGAGGTGTGACCTCTCCACTCAGGTCCGCGCAGCCCGCAGCACTGCAACATCTCACCTCGCCTTCCCCTAAACCCCGGGCCACCGCTGCCGCCCGGCGGCTCACATGTGGGGGAGGGTGCAACAAAAGCCCCTGGCGGAAGGGAACGCTGGCGTGGGTCAGGTAGCCAGCACCTGGACTGGTGAGGGATGGGGTGTGCCTGGCAGTGCCCTAACCTCATCCATTTACAATTGTCACCCCCCCCCTTAGCGGAAGCGCGGACAGATGTCCCATGACCCGAGAAGCTCAAAGGGTTCAGGCAATTAAGGTGGGATTTCCCTAGCCCAATGTATACCCGTTTTCTTTTTTCCTGTCCATGGTCTCCTCCTTTGGCGTTAGCATTCTCTCTCTCTCTCTCTGTTTCCCCGCCCCCCTACCTCACACAGACACACACAGTCCAAGGTGGAAGGGACTGGGTAGGGCCTGTTCTCTGTGTTCCCTTCTTCCCTTGAAGTGCCCACGTGCAAGCGAGGACGTGGTGCGTGGAAAGGGGAAGAGAAGGGAACAGGTAGACAGTGACCCAGCCCTTTAGGGATCCCGAAAGTCAGAGTGCGGCGTCGCCCACTTTCCTTTCGCAGACAATACAGCCGAGCAGCCGGCAACAGGTGCGCCGTCAACAGAAAGGTGCTCTAACCTCACCTTTGGCCAACTCTTGGTACTTTCGACACTCCTCAGTGCCCACCAACTCGTACCCTAACACAAGTTGTAGAGAAATAAATCAACCCTCCTCCGAAGCACAAGGGCTCTCGAAGCCTCGTCTCCGAGCCAAGAGGGAAAGACAAAACATGGGGAGAGGGCGGGGTGGGGTATCTCCGCGAGCGTAAAGTTGTGCGCCCAGCCCTTCCAGGAGAGGGACCCGGTGCACTGTGGTAGCTCGCCGCACCCCCGCGGCCGCCCCAGTCACCGCCGACTCCACTTTGCAAGCCAGTCCACCCACCAGGCTGAAAGCGCGAGGCGCTTTCTAGCAAAGGAGACGCCGCTTCTCCCGAGAGCGAGCCCCCTTCGCTTTCCTCGGGCCGGAGCAGGGCGGGCCTCTCAGGGCTTCTCCCGGGGACGCTGGAAGAGGCTGGGACGAGGGAAGGGGGGCTTCCGAAGCGTCCCCCTCTCCGGCCGCGAGGAGTTCCAGCCGCCCCACCTCCCTCGGCGTGGCTCGCTTCCAGGCTGCGGGAGCCCCTTGGCGACTCCCCCCCCGCCCCCAATCCTGGTGTTCCCTGGATGGGCCAGAAGCGCCGGGGAACTATCCGCGTTCTGGAGCCGCTCAGCTCTAATCTGCACCCCAGCCTTTGCTCGCTCCCCAGCGGCTGGAGAGGCGTAGCCATCAAGTGTCCTGCGGCTGCCCGGGGAAGCCGGGGGCTCTTCTGCGCCGCAGCCTCTGGAAAACCTGCGTGACCACCTTAAGTTTCCCCCAGATGTTGCGACTGCCGCTGCCGCTGCCGCCGCCTCCGCGGTTCAGCGGTGCCCCAGCGGGCCGGAGTACAAATAAAACCAGGAAGTGTGTGTGTGTGTGTGTGAGAGAGAGAGAGAGAGGGAGTGTGTGTGTGTGTGTGTTTGTGTGTGTGTGTGTTTGTGTGTGTGTGTGTGTGTGTAGGGGGGGCTGTTGTGGCGAGTGAGGATGTGTGAGTAGGGGGAAGAGGGGAGGAGGGCGAAGAATAGCCTATTAGCATGAGCTCGGTAGCGTCAGCGCCCCGTGGGCAGGAGCGATTCCATGCGAACGAAAGGGAAAAAGTGAGAGTTTGGAGAGCAGGGGAGAAGGAGAGGGGTGGGGGTGGCGGTGACGCAGGGGCGCAGGCATTGACGCACCCGCGGGGCTGGGCCCAAAATAGCAGCGGCTGTAGCTCGGTGGCGCCCTCCCGGGTTCCCTTCCTCTTCCGCGAGGGAGCAGGGCGCTGCCAGAAGGAGCTTTCCTTGATCCCAGCGGTGGGCCAGGCTCCCGGCAGCTATTTTCAGGCAGTCGGAAACAAGCGCAGCCACGCTGGGGTGGCGGTTATCATTTTTTAATATACTCTTCGGAAAGCTGGGGCCAGGAGAACTTTAAGGTTGTAACTATCACCCTCCATACACAAATACGCCCATCTAAGTAGATACATTCCCTGCACAAGTTCCTCCTCCTTTATGGCCCTTAAAAACACTTGGCTTTAGCCTGGCTTGAGTCTGCGGACAACCTGAGAATTCTCTCAGAGAGTGGAAAGTGTTCTGGAGTTCTTACAGTGAGCTCTGAAAAAGACAAACTTTGTAGTGTGGTGCGTCATTCTACAACAGCAACCTGTGGAGTCGGGCTTGACAGAGAGCCCTTACCCAAGTTTTAATGCACCCGACTGAGAGGCAGTTTTCACAGCAGCTATTATAATTATTATTAGTAACTGGAAATGGAGGGGTTAGATAGAACATTAAAAAGGGAGAAAAGGTAGACTTTTCCCCTTGCATCCTACAACTTGTATGAGTTCTCTCTCTTCTTCAAATTCCTATTCTAGTTCCTGGGAAGTGTTACTTCTTAGGAAGACACACTGGACTCAAGACTGATAAACTCATTTAAACCAATTACTGGATAAGCTACTTCCTGGGTTAGCATTTTTGGTAGGGCTCAGATGTGCTCCGGGTGGGAAGCACACAACACAGGCATCATAAAGTGTAAAAAAAAGGACCCCGCTCAGAACTCCAGACTCCTGTGTCTCCCCCACCAGATTGTGATGGAACGAAGTCTCAGTAGAACCGCCAATGTCTGTAATTGACTGATGCTGTCAGTAGGGGGCCTGACTCCACAACGTTCAGGAGAATCACACACACACACACACACACACACACACACACACACACACACACTCACTCACCAGCTAGCTATTCACTACTTAGGCCAAACCCTAGGAGAGCAAGCTGCAGGCCCAAATATTCATACTGTGCTGGAATTCATAAATAACTACAAGTCTTTTATTCTTTTCTATTTTTCTTAAAAGGGGAAACAGTCTAACACATGGAATTAGGTTCACAATAGATTTTCTTTTTTTCCTCCTGCCCATGTTTAACTCACTGTTAGGTCACAGGGGGGAAAAAAATCAAAATAGTAATAGAATCTCTCATTTTATCACCAAGTAGCTCAAATTGGCATATAGTTTGGAAAAATGAAAGCATGTTTTAAAATCCTATGATTACATGTTTAAATAAATTATAGTTTAGAAGAGGATTCCTGTGGGTGTATTTGCTAGTACATAAGAGAATGCTTTTGTGCACAGAGGTTTAATTACACATATAATGGAATCAAAATGTAGAATTGAACAACCTTTTAGAAAATGTTAAAAGGATGCTTTAGGCTAAAAGAAACTGAAATTTTGCATTTATATGACTACAACCCTTCAAGATTCCTTTTTAAACAGATTCTAGAATATAAACTACTTTGTAACTCAATTAAAATGACAACACTAGTTTTTTTCAGGGCCCAGATTCTAGATACAACTTTAAATTATTGCCATGTATAAATGTGTAAAGTTATCCCCAGTGAAGTTCTCTTTTCTTAAGAAGTTCAAATAAATAGGAGTAAAAATTGGTCTTACACATAAAGAGCTCCTTCTTTTGAAACCAACTAAATTAAGTGACAAAATTATTAATTCTATCAATATATGCTATTAGATGACCTCAGAAAAGCATTTAGAAAAGTCGTGTTACTACATTGTCTTTTATGATGTTAACCAATATTAAGCAGAATGCATTGACACATATGTAAAAAATAAAAAATATTTTTTATAAAAAATCAATATAAATAATATGCTCACATCTAAACCAAAGTATTTTATTTTATGCATGGCTAGACAGATTATACTTAATAAAATTGAGCTTTTGGTATAATTTAGAAAACAAACATGGAGGTAATCCCATAGGATTTTCTATCTTAATGCATGGGAAAGGGGTCTTTAGGGATTTCTTTCACGATTCTCCCAAAATGAACTCAGAGTAGCCCTTCAAATTCAGATATAGTGAATAGACATAACTGTTTTATTGCAAGAGTTGAGGTAATTTTAAGATATTTCCTAACAAAATTACTTAATGGAAACTATCTTAAACATTAAAATGAGATACATATTTTAAGTTATACTTGGATAAATTTACATTCATGGCATTTGTTGCCATCAGCAGGAAATTTTACATTAGTGATAGAAATTTTCACTTTGAAAAAAAAACTCAGTTATAGAACTACAAAATCAGTTCTTAATGTTGAAGGTTTTTGGTTTTTTCCTTTTGCCATTTCATTTGCATTAATAGAATATTAATTGACCAATCATTTCTTCCTTTACTATAAGATGCTTACAAAACAAGTCCATTGCTTACCTGGGATTCACATTTTGGGTAGCTGTGGCTTTTACTCAGTTTTATTCAGCCCATTTTTTTAACCAAAAAACACTAAATGCAAAATTATTTCTTACTTCAATTCAGAACTCAGTTCTAGAAATGTGTAAAGATGTGCAGAAAACAGCACTCTTTTTTTTCTAGAAGCATCTACTTGCAAATTAAAATTATAAAACCGAACATATGGTAAAGCCTCATGCCACTCAAAAAGTATTTTGCATAATAAAAATCCTTCATCTTCTCTCTAATGCTTGACTCTCAGTAACCATCTCCTAAACATTAGCTTTTAAACTAACTACTTATTATTTTCTTCTTGTGTGTGTGGTAAAATACACATAACATAAAATTTACCATCTTAACCATTTTTAAGTATACTGCTCAGTGATGGTAAAAACATTAACATTGTTGTGTACCCACCACCACTATCCATCTC